TTTCAAATCATTAACTTGCTCGGACTTGCCGAGTTTTGTTTAGAAACATTTTGCTCGAGTACCCGCCTCGGTCCGCACGTGCGGATCAGCCAAGGCGCACGGTCAGTCTAGGCACACATGCGGTACGCCAGACTACGTATATGACCTTTCTTTTGTTTGAAATTCATGGGACTGCATCAATCTCGCACAATGTCCATACTACTTTTTCTATATTTTTAAATGTCACGTAATGGCAAAGGAAACAATGATAATTTGAAAAATATTTTCTAAGAATAATATAAGGTTATTGGCAGTGTATATTTCAATTATGTTTCCTTTTATACATATCCATATTATATTAATTATATCTGTAAACTAATACTGTAATTTAAAAATTCAAACGATTTTGTAAGTGATCGTTTGATGATCACTATAGGAAGCCCTACTCTTTCTTTAGTTTCTATTTGAATATTTTTTTTAACCGTATATTACCTTTTCTTAGAAAACATTTATTACTACGCTATTTTGTTAGAAACAATTCGAATTCCTTTTTCTATTCATTAACTAGGATTCGTCCGTTCAGTTAGCAAATTTCGTTAGCATGTATGTTCGGAATTGACGCAGTTTCCTCGAATTTAAAACAAAGTACGGCACGCGCGCGCTCAGGCGATTGTTTATAAACACAACTCAACAAGTCCGAGCATGTTCTACAATATAAAATCCAATATACTATAAGATCGCACAATGAAATGCCTGCGAAACTTCTAGAAGCTTCGTTTTCTAACTCCACAAAGAAGTTTTCGGCATAGTGAAAAGCAGCGACACTGTTGCATTCTGCTGCATGTATATTTAAGGGCAGCTCGCCATGCGGCGACGCTCATTGTAATTCTACCTCGTGTTCACTTAACTGTTATTACACTCAGTATTTTAGTATATACTATAACAACGACACGTGGACACATATTCGGCAATCAACCTAAAAATACACTTGCATTATTAAAAAGAAATCAGCAAAATAAGGTAGTGATTTTACAGTGAAGCCAATTGGAATAGTAATCAAAAGGGACACAGCCACGCATTAATTCAACATACCTTGACGGCAGTTTACAAGGTACATCTCCTTATATTATTAAATAAGCTAGTCACATACGCGCAAATGACGTTTCACAAAACTGCCCCTAAAGAATGGACCAGGAAAGAGTACACTCTCTCGAACTAACTTCGTCACCGTACAGGCCCCCAAGAATCGACACAAGTGACGCAATTCATCAAGCACATTGTCTAGGCCAGACAACAATTTATCGAATAATCGACTATAAATACATTTTCATCAAGTCCTTCATACCTCGAAGGGATGCCATTTATTATTCTTGCGTGTGACTAGATTTCAACTGGCTCTATCATAATAAAAACATATTTGATTACACACCAATTTCAATCAAAATTTTACACTAGACTCAGTTTTATCATTCTCTCTTCAGAGCACATTTTATTTTAAACGCCATCTTCCCATGAGCATGATCGACTACATAGGCTTATATTTACATGCGCATTACTCATCTTTCACGATACACAGTAATTGCTACAGCATCTTCAGTACTCAAGAATAATTTCCTCTCTCAACAACAGTGCAATACTATTATTATATTTAACAAACAATAAACATTGGTCTCACTAAAGTACATAATACATATTATTTTTCAGCCCTTCCACTTATTTTTTTTAGTTTTAAGTTATCATGACGAGAGACTAATCCACTGAACTATTGATTTGGCAGTTCGAGTCATAAAACAAATCCTTAATAATTGAACAAAGTATGAGACTTTTACAAAAAATATATTGTATAAACAATCCAATTCATGAAATGAATTAATAATATATGTACAAAATCTAAAATATATGCATAATAAGTATGTGTCGGATTTTCAAAATTATATCTGAGATCTATTGCGATAGGTATATGTGATATAAACTATATGCAAGTGTATAAGTTTTTTTGTTTTGTTTTACACATTACTTTAAGTAATAAAATACTGTTGCAATTATATTTAATGATCACAGTTTGTATTGATAATTCTTTTCAAAAATAAAATGTAAATATCAAAATTATTTAGCTACATGAGACCAACGACTTTTATAAATTTGTTTGAGATTGCGAGAAGTTTTTCAATGTAAAAAAACATCTGGCAAAACAACATCATTAAATTGTCGTTAGTCTTGAGTTAAACTCCTGCTCATTTTATATCAAGCTAGAATATCATAAAAATTATTACACTCAATTATAAAGCTTGATGAAAACCCTCTCACAGACGTCGGAGACACGGAAAGGTCAGTACATTTGGAAAACCCCGAAAATTAGTCATGCTAGTTACTTCGCATTGCCAATGCGTACATTGTTTAACGCGTTAATGACCTAACTATTGGCACAAACGCGTCGGCTCTGCTCATACTAGAACAATTTGAAGTGCCAGATGTACGTAAAACTCTTGACCATAAAAAATATTTCCTACTTTTCACTGCAACCCAAAACCCCAGCACGTGCGACATCGGGCAACTGGCGTACATGCGCATTCGGCATCTTAAGACTATGCTTAAATTGTTCTCAAATACGCCGAATCTTGCCGAACGCGCTAGCTAATCGACAGCGCTCCCAGAGGACCTCCCATATCGATAAGTCCCAGAGAAAGAAGAGGAAAAGCCCTCACTTCAGATTTTTTCCCGATCTAGCATCTTTAAGACTAAACCCGGAAAGAGCTGGAAATGAAGGCGTGCATGATCAAGCATGCTGTCCAAAGTCGCGTTCTAATTGGACACAAGAAAGAAGAAAGGGTCCCTAGTGAACCGGGTCGGTAATTTATTTAAGAAGGACAATTGTAATGTACCATCACTTATTCTCGCGAAAAGTCGCAACCTATTCTCAAGGAGGAGGAACAGAGAAAAGTCGATCGATTGAGTCTTGTAAAATATTTTTCTACTTCTGTGGTTCAATATCTTTAAAATCTATAAATTTAATTTATATTTATAATTTATAAATATGTTATAATTTAATTTATCTATAAATTTAAAATCTATTTAACAAACAGAAATTACTATAATACCCAGATGATTATTATAAAGTATGATTTTCATTCTTTAAATATATAGCTTTCTATTAATTACGCTTAAAAATGACAGAACTATACAAATTTGCTGTTTTGCCATCGATGCACTAAAACTTCCTATCCAATAATATTTAAAAAATAATTATAATTAATTTCAATAATTTATTATAAAATTATTATTCCCAGTACAAAGGATGGAAATTCAAAAACTTTATTAATTATAGTAAATATAAATACAAATTAACAGTAATAAAATAGTTTTTCATATAATGTATTATACTTCTATAGACTATACATCTTTGTTGAAAAATTCCTGTGGTTTTTTTTTCAAGAACCTTACTAAAAAAAACTACCAATTTTTATATATACTATATATATATTATATATTTATATATATTATATATTATATATATTATAAAGATAATTTAATGTATATTTAAACAATATCAAAAGTATACCATTTTGTTTTATTTATTATTAATTACATATATATTATAAAACTTATATATCTAAATCAAAATATTAAATTAGTTGTATTTAATTAATTACCTATATAAAACATTTCTAATTTCTCTAAATTTTATAACTTAAACATAAAATATCAAAGTTTAACTTTTGTATTTGTTCGAGATTAAGCCAATCTCTCGTTTATTATTATGTTGGAAAAAAATACCAAGGGTCATAAATTCTAAGAAAATTCTCCAACGGTCGTTGGAGTTTCGGAAAAGTTAGTACATCTGGAAGATATGTGTGAACAATCATTTCTAGTCTTCTTCGCACTACAGATACGCTCGTTGTTTCTGGTGCAATTAACGACCTTTGTTGTTAGCTAACAATACCGCCGCGAGTCTGTTTATGCGAGAACATTTCGGGAGTGTCAGATATATGAAAACAATCGAGTTAAAATACATTTCCTATAATTCATTGTAACTAGAAACCTATCTCATGTGACATCGAGCAATCGTCAACACACGTGTGCTTTTAATGTCACAAACACACAACGCATACGTTGTTGCCGCTTGCACAAGCCAAGCGACGACCCTTGATCAAGACCCCCCTTGCGAAGTCCAGAAAAGAGGTGAGCCTTACAATTTACGGCACTCCAACTAGAGACGCTCTTTTAGATGTTGTCGTTGTCAAAACCTAATTCCTTCGAAAATGGGGAAAAGGGGCTTGACGCTTAGTCATGTCGCTTAAAAGCGGCGCGCTCTAATTGGAAAAAGGCCAGGAGTTCCTTGAGTGGGGACGACACAGATATAAGATGCTGTCTACGTGAAGAAGCCAAGGAGAAGAAGGCTGTCACTTAACGGTGATAAAGTAGTGATCAAGCTTTAAATCAACCACCCACAGAAGGAAGATACATCAACTTCCGGTGCTGCAGTTGAAAGGTGCTAACATTATCTCCTTCATACCACGATAGGGCCAGACTACCAAGATATGCATTCCCGCATTTGGAGCTTGAATAATGGTGAACTATTCATCCCAGGATCAGATCAAGGCTACTGTATCATTGTGAGTACAGAAAGTCTGTGCGACCTACTACATTGCCATATCCACTCTGTCCATGACTGGAATGACGCAATCATTAAACAATATAGAACACTCACCGAAAGGAAGTGTGCCATTCAATTATTGATCCTTACAAAATCAACAGTCAATCATAGATTACAAGGAGCATCTTGGGTAGTGAAACTTACATCGCAAGAACACTTAACAGCTTCCCGAGCATTTGCTAGGGTGGGCGGCAAATATAAGCTGTTGAAGCATTGGCAGTTCGAGCCAGGAAATCTACAACTTTCAAACAGTATTTAATTTTTATATATTTGTTATTTATTATTTTTTTATTTTTATATATGTATGTTGGTATTAATCATTTATTCAATGACATTGCTTTTTTATGAATATGAACCTTGTTTGCAGGGCTTTACAATTTCCTCCCAATGGTTGGTTACGTATGTCATTAAATCATGGAAGCATTACATGGATTACTATATTTTCTAGTGGAAGAGTTATTTTACGCTGTTTTGGTGATACTGGTCATATGTTGCCTGAATGGATAACATCAAATTAAAAAATATTGGTATCAATTTCAAATTCATCATAATTTTATTATATAATTTATTAAATAAATTATTATCTTATTATCAAGATCAAAATAGAAACACAATAAAATTAAAAACGCTATTTTATTTAAATAATAGGTTTTTAACTTTAAATATAAAAAATATAAAGATAACTTGGTATATTATAATTCTCGAAAGATGTATCATTTTAATTGAAATAATCGATTATTTAATCTATTTAAATATTTAATTATTATTGCAGTAACGATATTTAAAATGTATAAAATTTATTTAAAGGTATTTCATTTAAAAATGTATATTTTGTACTATTTTAATATTCATTATACAATTCTTATAATTTTGTTTATATTAAGCGATTTTTTATTTTGTTGTACATTATTGTTAAACATTAATATGAATTATATACTATAGTTCAATATTAAAATTATTTATTAATTATTCATTTATATCCATACATAAAATTTGCTAATTACAAGCTAAAATATGATTCTAATTAATCTAATCCATTGCCATCAATGACATTTCAGACGACAAAAATTTTCTGCAACAAAATCATAATAAATAATGCTGAGAATTGGTTCAAGATAGTTATTGATACATTTTTCCAAATCCTGAACTATAACAGAAATACGAAAAACATTCTAAATACAAAGACAAGCGATAAGCACGTACTGAAGAACAGTTTTTGTTATTAAAAAATTAATAGTTACTTTGGTTAAAGTTATTTTGGCTTTAATTTTAGTTTATTTTATTTTAGTTTATTATACTTAAAGCATATTCTAAAGAAAGATCTAATAGTGGACATAAATTTACAGTTTAGATAGTGGATTCTCTGTATTTTAAAATATCTGAAAAATTCAATAAAGTATAATTAATGATTTTAAACGAAATAAAAATTATATTTTTTAATTGTATAGTCTAGAATTCTTATATTATTATTTATACATATATTAAAATCACTAAAAATAATTTCTATTGAGATTTAATTTCAAAATAATGACATAATAATAAAAATATTTTTAACTATTTTTATTTAAAATTATAAATAAATAAAAATTTCATGATCCGTTTTTTTTTCTCTAGAATCAATTTATTCATGTTCATATTGATAATAATTCTGCAGAAAATTCGAATTGAAATAAAAAAATCAACTTTATAAATAACTTTAGTATGGATGTGAATTATAATGAAACAAGTTTATTTTATTCGTCAAATGAAAAATAATAAAGAGAATATTAAAAAATGTATGTTTATTTTTTTATTATACTTTTAAGACTATATATCTGTTGTTAACCTCCGTTTGATGTTGGGTGGAGCTGTTGCTGCCAAGTGGAAGGGACAATGCAATTATTCAAGACTACTTGTACTGTTTCTTGTCTTTCCTTTTATTAAATATAATAATATAATAATTAATGATCATGAAGTATATGAATGATGGTATGATTGAATAAATATAGGAAGTTTCTTCTATTTTGTTACATGCTGATGAGTGTATATCCTTTTTGTTGTATAGTAGGTGCTATCTATATACTATGCTATAATATGCGTTCGAGCTGCCGCTGATGTATTATGCGTCGGTCTAATGTATGAGCTACCTCAGTAGTAATATGCGTTAGAGCCGCCGCTATTTGTATTATGCGTTGGTGTAGCCGCCGATGTATTATGCGTCACTCGAATGTATGAGCTGCCTCAGTAGTAGTATGCGTTAGAACCGCCGCTATTTGTATTATGCGTCGGTCTAATCCGTTAATATGTGTAATATGATTTTTACGTTTGCACTAGCGCGAAATTAGTTTAAGTTTAGTTCAACGAATTTGATAATATAGCGTCACTATTTCTTTCTTAGATTATTTACTTAGATTATTACGAATGTATACCGCTACAGTGAGTAATAACTGTAGAAAGAAGATTGAAGATGAATAGTGCGCTTGTTATGATTGTTACTAGACTGCGGAAAGACTCATTGCTGCGCATGAAGCGCAGCCCTTAAATATTATTGCACTATTCCTTAAACGCCGATGTTTGTTGCCATGACGCTATTGGTCGTGACGTCACAGGGCATAGCCTGGAAGATTCTTTGATTATTGTTTTATTTAAATAACTGAATCGCGCGTTCATACCTCTCCCACTTTCGCCATTCAATTTTTCAATACATAACAGTATCAATAATTAATAAATAACTGTTGATTAGATATATTTTTTTTTACAATCTAATAGTACAAATTATGTTTATATTTATAATTTACAGGATTGAAAAAGGGAAATAGCTACCAGCATGTATTTTAGACATGTATTTAAGAATAAAATATTTTTTGTATATCTGATGCCCATATAAAGATAAAAAATGTATAACTATTCAATTGAAAGAATTTTATTATGTAAACATTTTTTTACTACTTAATAATCAAACAAAACTAAATATTATTTATAGTATATTAAAAATTCAATATGTTTACAATAATATTCAAAGATTTATAAATAGTAGCTTTAAACAAACGATCTTAAATCAGTTATCATTTCTCAATAATTTAAGAGCTAAATTAAAATTTGACAAACGTTTAATGATTAATAATGAAACATATATATATATATATATATATATATTCTGGTTAGATGTATAAGATATACTGACTCAAATTATTACATAATAAGTAATTATAAATATAATTATGTAGTATTAATTTATATTTATTCATTTATTAATTTCTTGATTTTCTGGTTATTATTTGAAATATCTATTTTAAGTAATTGGATATTATAAAATTCTTCTTGTATACGAATGTCACTTTCATTTAATAAATGATTTATGTCTTCAAGGTATTTTTTCGTTATCCTAAAATGAAAAATTATAGTAATTGTCATTAGATCAAATATTTTAATCTTTCTTCGTTATTTGAAAGCTTGATTTTATATACCTAAAATATAAATTATAAAAAATAGAAAATTATGATTACATTATAATATTATAAACTTAAAATCCATTTGATCATAGTAAACATTAAAAAACTAAAATATTTATTACATCGACATATTCAACTATACGTGTTTCATCATGCTTTAAATTTATTTTAAGCACCTTTGTGATGAATATATATTATAATATATATACAAATAGATAAGAATATGTTAATACCAGAATCGTTGATACTCGCAAAAAAAAAAAAATAAAGCAATACAAAGTGATTAATAGTATACAGACCATACATATTTCAACTAATGAAAGATATAAATAGAAACTATTCATTGGAAGACAATTTATATATAATAGACTATACTTATTTACATAAACAAATCAGAACCTAGTAGATACATTAAAAATATTATATCTTTAAATGCATTGATCTAGTTCCACTATTAATGTAACAACGTTTGTATTTTGTATTTAATATTAATTTTATTTAAAATTCATGAAATATATTGTATAAATATATGTGTTTATATAAAAAAATATATATTCATTTTCTTCTATTAATTATTTTAATATTGAATCATCTACTCTTTTTTTGTATTCACATGTTTTATTTAATATTTTTATCGAATATGTACAAGCTAGAAATTAATAATTTTAATTTAAAATCGACATTACATATAAACATAATACACCATTGATTCAAATATAAATCAGTTTTTTAGTAGAACAATATATATTTATTGTATAACATGTAGTTTATTAATTTTGTAAAATGATTTAAATTATTTAAAAATAAAAATTACTCATGTATCATCTGTACACTACCTTCTAGTGGATTCAAAAATTAAATGAATCGTAGAGAAAACGAAATTTATAAAGAATAATTTTCTAAATTATAAAGCAAATATATTTTCTGTCAATAATTCTTAAATAATTTGCTAATTAATACGAATAGTGTACTAAAATATATTAATTTTTTTAATTTAAATTTAAAATCTAATTTTTATATGATATATATCGACATATAAGATATATAATATTCTATGTGATAAACATAACTCTACAAGCATAAGATAAACAATTATTATTAACAATTACTATCTGATATCCGATTTAAATTTTGCTTTTCAAACACAATTTTATTTTAATTTACTTGTATTTTCATTTTTAGCTTAGTCTGATTATATCAGATTTTTGTGTCAGTAATAATGATTTAGTAGAGTTTCTTTTATTGAATACATATAATTGTGCGCGCTTTAATTAAGAGATTATTTCATTTTTTGTATCTAGATTAGAAATTCATAATAATTTCACTATTAATAAAAACTACATAATTATGTTATCAAATTTTATACTTACTTATTTTCTATATTGAAACATTTTTTCAAATTTAGATTTTGACTGATCAAAATCGAATATTCTTTTTGCATTATTTCTGTGTTTTCCTGAAAATATTTTTTAATACAAAAAGTAACACAATTTTTTATAAAATACTTAATATAACATTAATTACAACATATATAGAAATATTAAACATTAAATTTAATAAATAATAAATAAAAATATTTAAAAATATTAATGTAAATAATTCATAATTGTGATATAATAGATAAAAAATATAAATAATGTAATAGATATAAATATCATAGATACATATGATGTGAACAAAAAAGTTTACACTCAATATTTACTATGCAACCGCCGATATTCAAACAGAATTTAGTTATTAATAATTACATTAGTACTTTTAAAATTATCGTGTATCTAAATTTTTATTTATGGTTTATCTTAGACAGGATTTGAATAAAATTCTTGTAACTGGAAATATTTATTTATAACAAAAATAATAAAAATTATTAAAAAATAAATGTAAAATTTTTTTTAACATAAATTAAAATACATTTGTTCGGAATTGGAGCATTTTTCGAGGCCTTCGGTTCTCAGAACTTCATCAAACCTTCTAGCCCTCGAATTTTTACATTTGCTTTTGCCGAATTGTCGACTGAAACCGAAAGCTCAAAGCTTAGATTCTCGAACCTTCTACAAGGCGGCTAGCTCCGCATAGCAGCATCAAGCATTGTTGCAAGGTTTAGCTGCCGCGCTGATACTTAAGGAAGCGCGCATCAAGACTCCCAATAGTTATCACTCAGCAGTCACTCGGTATACAGTATCAGTTATTCCTCCGAGTCAGTCACTCGTCCTAGCCACGCCATTAATCGGAGTCTTTTGCAGAGAGAAAGTCACGCAACACACGCTGTCTCAGTGCAGCCATTACAAGGAACTCACGTTCAATTCTCCAGTGCGCAACGGTTAACAACCAGTCAAGGGCTGACTGCAGTTCTAGAAAATAGTTGACTATACTTATTGAGAATAACAACCACATGAATAATTCCATACTTTCCTTCATGAGTGTGTTAACTCTCCCTGCTAATCCTTACTACGTTAGCAGAGACCACAATTCTCACACTTTCCTTATGAGTATGGTTGACTCTCCAAGCTAATCCCTGCCACATTAGCACAAACCACATTTCCATACTCCCTTATGAGTATGGTCGGTTCTTCTTGCTAACCTTTACAACGTTGGTATAGACTTCATTTCGAGCCAGAAAACTAAATTCACTTGATCCTTCGAATCGCATCAAATAAATAAACATTGTTGAATAGTATTCATAAATAAAATAATTTTAAAATTGGGACTAAAAAATTTAGGAAATTTTACTCATACATCAAAATTGCCAAAAAAGAATATTGTTCATAATTAATGACGAGTTTTAGTGCTTAGATAATATATATTAACTGATAAATTTTATATTTTATATACTAAACGTAATACAATGTCAAATAATTAAAATTAAATAAAACAATAAAAATAAAAATTATAAATATACAAATTATTATAGTTATAGTAAAACAATGTATAAATTATTTAATTTCATTCAACTCGGTTGGTTATAATGTATACATATAAATAGTCGGTTGCTGATACTTTATGCTTCTCGATTGTTTATCATTCATATATAAGTATCTATAAAAATAAAACATTTGCATTATTTTATCTTATAATTTTTTTCGTGCAACATGATAACCATTACTTAATAAACGATTGTGTGTGTTGCATTATATCCAATATTTAACAAAAAACTTCAGCAAATAATGAAGTCTTACATATACTATTTAATTAAGCAGATTAATACATGAAATAAAATTTACAATAATTTTTAAATAAACTAAAATAATGTACGACAGCAAACAAAATTATATCGTTTATTAATATTATTTTTATACTTATTTACGAGTAAAATTATTTTACATTATTATAATAACAAAAACTAGAAAACATAAATAGTTCCAGTTTATAAAAATATATAATTGAATTGACATTTTTAATTCAGAGAAGAATCATATTATGCTACGAATTTTTTCGGTAATGCATTACATTCAAACTTAGACAGAAATGAAGGAATAGACATTAAGAATAAACATTATAAAAGAAAAATATAATAAAAACCAAATTCTATAATAGGATAATAATTTGCAATGTGTTCGAGATTGTGAGAAGTTTTTCAATGTAAAAAAACATCTGGCAAAACAACATCATTAAATTGTCGTTAGTCTTGAGTTAAACTCCTGCTCATTTTATATCAAGCTAGAATATCATAAAAATTATTACACTCAATTATAAAGCTTGATGAAAACCCTCTCACAGACGTCGGAGACACGGAAACGTCAGTACATCTGGAAAACTCCGAAAATTAGTCATGCTAGTTACTTCGCATTGCCAATGCGTACATTGTTTAACGCGTTAATGACCTAACTGTGTTGGCACAAACGCGTCGGCTCTGCTCATACTAGAACAATTTGAAGTGCCAGATGTACGTAAAACTCTTGACCATAAAAAATATTTCCTACTTTTCACTGCAATCCAAAACCCCAGCACGTGCGACATCGGGCAACTGGCGTACGTGCGCATTCGGCATCTTAAGACAATGCTTACATTGTTCTCAAATACGCCGAATCTTGCCGAACGCGCTAGCTAATCGACAGCGCTCCCAGAGGACCTCCCATATCGATAAGTCCCAGAGAAGGGAGAGAAGACGAATAGGAGACGCCCCCCCCCCTTCAGACACTTTTACTAGTACAATTTCCCAGTAACAAATATATATAATTAAAATTAATTAACAAGAAAATCAATAGAAGAAATAAATATAATGTTTAAAATATTGTAAACCGAAACCATTAAGTATATATAGCGTTATACATACATAATTGAGTGACCAAGTTGGAATACAGCTCATATATTACGAATGACAACTGCTGATTATATTCTTAGTTATTTTTTGTTTTGAGCCTTACTAAAAAGTGATTATTTAATACATTGCTCAAAAGTATCATAAATAAAAATAAAAGTATTATATAAATATAGTTTTATTAACAGAAACTTATTCGACATATTCACAATAAATTTATGTTTTATGTTGTAATATTCAAAAAATTATTATTTTGCATTATCCGACATACTTTTCATAATAAATTGTCTTTCATATTATGAAATATATTTCACGATTACAACCATTATTCTAATGATTCTAATATACGATAAAAGTGAATTATTATCATATAATTATATATAGATTCAAACTTTTTTATAATACTAATAATTTTCTATTTGTATTTACATACAAAATACTAACTTGAATGAAACTAAATCTAGGGTAATAAAATTCAATTGTTCTACATTAATTAAAAATTATTAACATATCTTTAATCATTATTAAATTAAAATAAAGAAAAATAATTGGTTATAACGTTCGATAAAAAAATTTAATTTAATACATTTTTTAAACAATTTTTTAAATATATAACTTCAACAATACATATAGTCAAAGTGTGTGCTTACTTGTATTAAATCTAGTATTTTTCCCAATGGGTTTGACGTACTGGCTAATTGTTGTATATCATTTCGAAGATTTTCAATTTGTTTCGTTAATGTTCCACTTTTTATAACTAGGCCATTTTTCTAAAATATTATAAATATATTTAATGTTATCATACGTAATAAATATATTAATTAATTAATTTAGACATTTGTCGATGTTACTTTTCAATTACTATTCGAGATTGAAGCCAGTTTCAAGACCGCCGATTGTCGGCATCGCCGGCCTTTTAGATCTCAGATTTCTGTAAACACTTGAACGAGAATTTTTCGTATACTTGTTATGTTTTGGTTTCGAATGGCCCGTAATGTTTATATGGTTTTCAGGTAATAACATCGCCCGGAAGTTTCTATCGGTATTACACCCTATTTTTTCTTTCATCAAATTCTCGAAAGTACTAAATTTGTCTTTCTACGCCTCATGTAAGATTCCATTGCAGCAACGACGATGCTTTGTTGCCAGCTAAGTGAGCTGCCGCGTGGATATATAAGGCAAGCACGAGGCGTGCCTTGCTCTCTTGCTAAACATTCTTGCCGAACCACCCTTGCTGAAACTATCACTTACTGAACTGCGCTTGCGGCCTACATCTTGTCGTGACCCGACAGCAGTGAACCGATTTAACCCTGTACCATTAGAAGTCATGGCAAGGGTCTCAGTCTGCCCTAAGCAGGACTGCCATGGAACAGTCGGTATTTTCAGCAGAGCCGCCACTAAACGATCAAGCCTTCAGTTTTCGTGCGCGTTTTCTAAAGGCTCATTGGTTATAGGCTTATAGGCTCATTGTAATTCTACCTTTCGTTCACTCATCTGTTATTAGTCAGTGCGTTTTAGTATATACTGCGACAACGACACGTGGCCGTATGTTCGACAGCCAACCTAAAAATACATGTACATTATTAATTAGAGTCAGCAAGAAAAGTGATTTAAGAGTGAAGCCATTAGAATCCTAATCAAAAGGGGTACGCCAGCCACTCAACATGCCTTGTCGATAATTTACAAGGTACATCCATTTATATTATTTAATAAGCTAGTCACATACGTGCAAATCACGTTTCACAAAACTGCCCCTAAAGAATCGAACGGGAAAGAGTACACTCTCTCGAACTAACACTTGTCACCGTACAGACCCGCAAAAGAGTCGACACAATTGACGCAACACGTCAATCACGAATAATCGACAACAAAATACAAGACAATCAAGTCCTTCAGAGCTCGATGGCATGTCATTTATGATTCTTGCGTGTGACTTGTTTTCTACTGATCCCATTAACAACAAAGACATAATTAATTAGGCACCAATTTCCACCAAAACTTCTTACAGTCTATCAATATAGTCATTCCTTCTACCAAGCATACTTGACTCAAGCACCATCTTCTCGTGCTCTTTCATGAGCCTGATGGACTACATAGACTGATATTTACAACATCAGCATAACCTTAATTTTCAAGATACACAGTAATATCAATAGAATCTACAATAATCAAGGACACAAGGAAACACCCTCACTATTACAATAGAATAATATTCTCTCTCAACAACAGTGCAATATTATAATATTTAACAAAATAATATATATTGTTTTACTAAAATACATAATACATAATATTTTTCAGTCCTTCTACTTATTATTTTCCTTTTAAGTTATCATGACGAAAGACTAATCCACTGAACTATTGAATTGGCAGTTCGAGCCATAAAACAAACCCTTAAAATCGACCAATTACGTAATATGCATTCTGTATATTCTGCTTGAATTGATATAAGAACTTTTCCTATACTCTACAATTCATTATGTTATATAGGGTAAAGGACGTAGAATATTAGGGAAAAAGTTAGAATAAATTCATATTAAATAGTAACTTGAATGGTGTAATCCTAAATGATTTAATTTTTATAATCAGTGGTGCTTATTTTCTTCTAATTTTTGTTGAACAAAATTTTCCAACTGGTATAAAACAAAAAATACAAATACAAAATTATATTTTTTGCAGGTGTGAAAGATATTTATAGTAGTACAACATAGTAGCAACATCTTTCCATTGTTGCCAGCTATCTAAACTGTCGCGTGGATATGTAAAGCAAGCACGCGACGAGTCTCTCTTTCTCTTCTATTCGTGGGTCCGCCATGACACAGAACACGATCTGAATTAGCAGGATCGCCATGAAAAATGGTTGAAGTGCGCTTAGTGGAAATTACTACACCGAGAAATCCATGGGCGTAAATCCTTGACACTCCTAGTATAGTGTCAAGTATAGCCATTATTCCGGAGTACAGCTCCGATCACAGTAACATCTGAGTGCTTGAGCCCAGGGAGCAACCTCGAACAGCGACGTTTAATACAGAAGTTTTAATTTTCAAGTTTCAATTTGGACTTTTCCAAGTACCTATAGCAGCCACTTCAAGTGTCAACTACAATTTTCAAGTTTCAATTTCTATGTTTCAATATTAAATATCTATTCAAGAACGTAAGAAAACTCCCAGCTCATTAAACATCTGGAAAAATCGAGATAAGAGTTCCGAAAAAGACGAACTCTCGGCTACTCAAGAAATAACATTCAAACGCGCCTAGGATTAACTAAATCTAAACAATTCAGCAAAACATCGAATTTCTAAAGAAAAATACAATTCGTAAACACATCTAGCGAGAACAAAGTTTCAAGTGTCCAACCAAACAAGTCATAAAAACTAATGCGACGCGACATTTGATACGGCCTCGCCATAAAGCATCTATCGACGACAAATCATAAACATCTGGCGTATACAAATCATAAAATTAATCTGAAAAACACAAGCCAGATGATACACTCAAAAACAATGCTACACCTAACCTTCACAACACTGACCGATCGCAACGCGCATGATTATAAGAAATGCATGCGACAATGCTAGGATGGAGAGGGAAAAGCGCGACATCAAGATCCCCCATCATGGAGGGGAGTTGAGCAAGACCCGCTCTCATTGGAGCCTCCATCTTGGAAAGACTCACTGGTGGGAGACCCCACCACTCGAAAGGCGCCGTGATTGGAATTACCATAAACTAAAGAAGAATTCTGATTGGATACACTAATAAGACTAAATCTCATTGGCGACGCCATGATCGACAAGGCAGCTTTGATTGGCGACACTAAAAGAGAGGGAATTCTCACCGACCACCGCGTGGTCGAGAGAAGGCTTTCAAAAAGTCAACGCCGGCATGGCACAATCACTTATCTTATCTTATCTAACAGAAAAAGAACAAGTCAATTAAACGCAAAAGTCCAAGATTAATCTATTCAACACAAGTACTAGATAATCAAATCATACAATCGCAGCAGTGTAATACAAAAAAAGGGGAATCGAGAACTACGAATATTAGTCCGCACAGTATACACAATCAAACTACAAGGAGCCCTACGAGGCAACTCAAAGAATAAGATAAAACATAGCTATACACAACGTGCAATTGCAACGTGCAATGCACAATTAATACATAACTATATCAAGCTATATACGCCAATCTGAAGATACGTAAAGCTATCTGCAAACATAATACAAGCAATTCAAACGACGCCACGTGCTCATATACAAGGAAGCGCGGGGGTTTATGACCTCGCTCTTCTGTGTGCATTATTTCATCTACACGTGTGTTACATATAGAGGATCAGCAAGGCATCAACTTCTTCCTGTGTATCCGACTTACGTGATAGCTCAGTGGCAATAAACATACAAATCAAGAAAAGCCAAAAAAGCAATTATAAAAATTAAACTAATAATAATTCAACTAGTGCAATCATAAATAAAACAAACTAAATAACAAAACTGCTCTTTATTGAATACATGTACTATCTTGTCCACTAGCCTGCAATCCTCCTATCAACATCAGGAGCTCGCATCTAATCTTAGTTACTTGGCCCTCCTCGCCCGGTACACTATTTTTAAACAGTATCATGTTTTAAATGTTCAAGGTTTAAATTTTGAATGCAAATACACACGCTTCAAGTTTCAATTTTTACTTTCAATTTTTGAATTCGAGTTCCGATCGTAGTGATGATTTAGTACCTTTTCTACCGAGAATAAACCGGAATACAGTGGTTCAATATCTTACCCACATGTGTAGTGTGCCTAGATGGTGCGCTTTGTATTTAATAATTAGTCTTGAAATGCAGTCACCACTTTTGACTGTTTAACTGTGACGCACTTAAATTAGTTATGAATTATTTGGCTTCACTGTTACGATTTTATTATTGTTGAGTCGGACTGAAGTATATATTAGTAATATATTAGTAAACTAAATAATGGTAAGTAATATAATATATTTGGTATATTAGTATAAACAGATTAATTGTTATATGGCGGAGTTTCGTGGGGGTGCGATTAATAACTGATAACTGATAAGAATTACTGAGAAATAATCGATGAGTGAATGATTGAAAAAAATAGTGAGCACCGGTGCGTGGTGAGCAGCTCTTAAATATTCTCGTGGCAGCTTACAACGCTGGCAACAGTGCATGGGTTTGTTGCTAGGCCGAAAATCTTGATGACGTCAGGAACTAAGCTCCAGAAACTAAGTCCAGAAGAGCATTGCCTTGGAAGGTTCGAGAATTTTCAATCGACGCTGCTATGCGGAAATATTGTAGAACACTAGAAAATCAGGCGCCAAACTATACAAGAATTCGCAGAATCAATGTTTACAAACGTAGTGTCCGAGTTTGTTTTTTTTGTAATTCTTCGAATTGCTCCGATCCCGAACAGATTTATACTTCAACGTATTGTGAGAATTAAATTTTTTAATTATTTCTTAAAGGTTATAGTAACGACGTCGAATACTCACCAAAGAGAAATAATCAATCTATTTCGTCTTAATAACTAGTATAAGTTTAGTCTCTTGAATGCTACAAATTATCAGCTATAGTTTACTGCTATAATAGCTATGATATTCTGCAGAAAAATGTTTTATAATAACTGTGTGGCAATCGGTTAAAATTGCTACCGAATTTAGGTTTGTCTGTATTTTTTATTTAACATATTATTGTTCTTTGTATGCATTCGTATTTTCTCGTAAAAATTTATCAAAATTAATTGTTTTTGGATAAACTATATCTAAGGTATATGACTACCAATGCAACTTGCTTTTTTGGATAATATATTCAGGATTTTCAGTTGACAATCATTAAATAATTAGGATCAAACAATCATTTAATCTTTAAGTAATTCGATATTTGTATTCGTTATAGTTAGACGTTCATTAAATAATCCATATTTTTGTAACGTGGTTGTTTCTACTAATATTCAATTAAAGCACACAGTTTTTACCAAATACTATAATTAAAGTTTTCTACTCTACAAAAATTAATTTATAAGTAAAAATCAAGGTGATAATTTAGTCAGAATAGATATGGATACACCGGACCCTCATTAGATGACTTAAACAGATTAATTAATGTCATAAATATTGTATATCTAAAATAAAATCAAGATTAATATTAACCTGTGTAAGAAGTTCTGAAACTAACTCCAGGGTTATTGAAAATGTATAATAAATATTATCATACTGTTATAATAGTAAAAAGAGTAAAGTTCCAGATTTAAAATGAAATCAAAGGTAGAACATGCTGGAGATTCGTGATGGTACAATTACAGATAATTTATTATCGGTATAAAAATGGATTCATATATCGATACGAGACAACATACGTCATTTTATACAGGTGTATCTATTTTATTAAATTAAATTCCTATATATAAAATAAATGAAAAAAATTTCTTAGTCTTAAGTACATTATTTGTAACAAACGTTTAATTATATATATTTACAATGTGAATTTTTATATTGATTTCAATATAATTTGAATAAAAAACTTTTTAAATTTCATGAGCTTAATTAATTTATGTAGTTTTTCAACTAATAAATATGTAATTTTATTAAATTTTAATTATTGTTTCAATTTACTATTCACAACTGAAATAATTAAAATAGTAAGTACTTTATATATATATTGTAAACAAGAGAGAAATTTCATTAATTTGTTTTTATTATATTTATTATCTAAAAAATTAGTCCTTATCGACGTTTACACATATTATGAAGGAATATTTGTAATTTAATCTCGAGTACAAGTTAAAATTAAAATTGTGGTTAAAAAATATTCTTATGTAATAATTTTTTACGAATAAAAACTATATGCATTGCATTTTACACATTTCAACTATCAAATACACGCATATGGAACATATTAAAAAATTATAAATAATTATATATTATCAGAACCGTTTCAGATAATCATTAATAAATATATTATGTGTAGTCGTAAGAATTTAGTTTTCATCTATAAACATTTCTCTTACTTTTTTAATTACTCTGGAAGTTATATCCAAATTAATCGAGTTAGTCAGATTCCTCTGAGTCTCTAATATTTGTGCAACTAGGGACCCTTGCTCTTGATTTAAATAGTTTGTATCTAAAAAGGTAAAATTAAAAATAATTTACTTTAAAAAGCAGTTATATTAATTACCTAAATTTTAAATATATTTATGATGATTTAAAAACATTAAGTACTTAACTTAAAAATTGCTTATAATATAAAAATATTCTATTCAATTTGCATTAAGCAATTAAGAATCATTGTAGTCGGAAATTAACCTTTACAATATATGCACTATTATATAACAATATTAAGCAATACTAAAAATAATAAGATGATAACGAAAATAAAGAGTATATGTTATTGTATCCGGCTCCAAATCCCAGTTTTAAGAAATACAAATTATATTTTTAAATAAATTTCAACTTAGTGAGAGAAATTTGTATAAAAAAAACATTGCTCAAGATATAATTAATTAAATTTTCTATAATAGAATAAAAATATATATAATAAAAGCTATCTCTTAATTGGAAAATAACTTAAATCAACGGTTATTCTTAGTATATTGGGTCTGATTAGATTTTAATAATTACTTAACTATTTATAAGTGATAAGAATAGGAAGTTCGTACGAATTTTTTTATATTAGATAACAAATGCTTGTTGATTTAGAAAAATTTTATAATTTTATAATGATATAATAGCTGTGATCTCACTTTCTTGAATAAATTGATTTTAGATCCTGTTTAAACTTTACAAAGCTGCCGCAAAATTGAGTTGAATAAAATGTAATAGTCGATTTTATTTGATTTTAAACTGGAATTTAATACTCTAAATATACAGACCACTGATGGATCTATATTGACAAGATATATACTATTCTATTGCTTATATATTCATTTATTCATCTTTAGTTTAAAATTTTTTACAAATTAAGTAATCACATAACAAGTCTAAAAAATTTCCTTCTTTACTAAAGTTATAAGTTACACATTAAATAGTTCAATAACTTGTACATCCTACTTTAAATGATAACTGTTAATTCTCTCTCATATACTATTTTACATGGAATTTTTAAAAACTAATCATTATAAAATATATTTGTTATAAAATAATTTTTTTCATTAAAACGTATTATTTTAGCAAGTAAATTTCTATTTTTCGTCAAGAATAATGCGCGATATCAGATCCTCCTTGGCAGTAAATATCATTCTTCATTTTCGACAAAATATAAATTCTTATGTTTATTGAAATTTAGAATATACTAATGTTTAACAGACCGATTTTATGATCTTTAAAGAACTATATAATATTGTTATTATTGTAAATAAAAATAATGTTTATTCATACCATATAATTGTTGTGATTTCATTTGTTCGATTATTACAAAATTATCTTTATTTTTTGTAGAATCAAAATTATTTCCTTTAATAAGATTTGTATTAGTTTCCGCAGTATTTCTAAAAGAATATAAATTAGTCAAATGTAATTATTTTTTAAATGCATTCATTTAAAATATTTTCAAATTTAAATTTTTTCGTAAAAACGAAAGTTTTTAATTCTTAATAATATGTCACTTTCATTATATTATATCTTTATTAATAATTAAAATAATAAATATAAACTTGCAAAAGAATTTAAATTCAATGTTAGCTTCTTGTTATAAATACAAAAGTTTATAAACTGTATTTAATGTATTGTAGCAAAATTGAAGATCTGTCACTATACTTAATTGAAATTTAAAATTCTTACTTATTTATTTTTTTCATAACTGTATCGATAATTAGGATTTTTTAAAGAACCACTAGTGTTCTTTATCTTGTGGTCTCAGTATGTAAATATTTTTGTTTTAATTTTCACATTAAATATCAAAATAATTTCGGCATAGCTTTTTCGGCATAGATTATTAAACATACCTTAATTTTTAACATTTATCGGTAGGAAGTCAAAATCTAACGCGATAATAAGTTATATGAATTTAAATATAAATTCCAAAGTATTGCTATTAATACTGTATGATTAAATGCAATATAATATATGTGTCTCTGATAGGTATTGAAAATTCGAAAAACGGAATAAAAAAAGTGGGATAGGTATGAGCGCGGGATTCAGTTGTTTATAAACAATAGCCAACGAACCATCCAAGGCTATGTCCTATAAACGTCACGATCAATATCGGCATAGCAACAGAGACCGGCACCTAAAAACTAGCACGATAATATTTAAGGGTCAGTCTTTGTCCCAGTCTAGTCTAATAACAATTACGCAGTCATTATAACGGGCGCACTATTCAATCTTCAAGCTTCTCTCTACAGTCATCACTCACTGTAGTGGTACACGTACATAATGCTCAACTAGTAAGAAATTTAACAAGCAAATAGTGACGCCACATTATCAAAATCCGTGAACTAAACTTAAACTAATAACGCGCTAGTGCTAACATAATTCGAGAGTCAAAATATTGAAATCATACTACATATATTAACGGATAAACCAATACTAAGGCAGCAGCGACCCGGTCCCTCTTAGATGACTTCGGTACGACAGCAGCGGCTCTCACGCATACTACGACTGCACCGACTCCTCACACCACGGAGAGGATACACACTCTCCTCAGCACGTAACACAATTGAAGAAACTTCCGCAATTTATTCACTCACACCTTCATTCATACTTTTCATGATCATTAACTTTTTATTATATTATTATATTTAATAAAAGGAAATACAAGAAACATTACAAGTAGTATTGAATAATTGCATTGCCCCTTCTACTTGCCAGCAGCATCTCCACCCACCATCAAAGGGAGGTTTTTAGTCTGATCCCAGACATTTTGGTCCTTCGAGCCGGATAAGTGGAAATCAGTGCATTCGTCCAATACTGCTACATCAAAAGGAAAACAGCCATAGTAATGATATTTACAAGCAGAATTCCAATTCACAATCAAAAAGTTCCTTCAATACTGTAAGTACGCAACTATTGTGCTCATTATAAGAAAATGTCAACCCAAGACAAAACAGAAATCAAGGAACCGGTGAATGCAAATGCATCCACGGTCCATGAACGCAACACTCGTAGCACAACCTAGGAAGGTGGCGAGCCGTTTCCATTGGCGACCTCATCCCTCTCTGAGACTTGGCTAGACGAAGGGTTCGCTTGGGCGTGGTCAATTTTCCAATGCGATCGACTAGATGTCTCACAGCCAAGAACAGTGCAAGCATTGCCTTAAAGGCTGAGTGCGCACGTATGGTCATTGCATATTGTTGTACGTGCGGGTTTTGGGTTGCAGAGAATCAAGTAAATGTTTTGTACTCAATGCTTTACGCATATCTGATATTTGTTCTGAATCTACTTTGGGGCTTTCTCGGCAATAAACCCATTAAGTTCCACTGCACTGGGAATATGAGCACGTTTCGCTAGAATTTTCCAGATGTTTTATGACACTAGTGCAAAATAATTATGAGCAGGAAAGTTTTGAAGTCTTAAATACACTTTTTATGATATTACTTGCCAGATGTTTTATTGCCTTAAAAAAAAAGAGTCTCTCATTCTCAAACAAGTCAACACAAGGAGCACAGACCTCAACCTGGATGAGGTACTATATATGGGAGACACCATTGACGAGATACATAAGACATTCGTAATAGAACATAACTATACTATATTGAAAACACCTGGTGTTCGGGATTGATGCAGTCCCATGAATTTCAAACAAAAGAAAGGTCATACGCGCAGTCTGGCGTACCGCATGTGCGCCTAGACTGACCGCACGTGCAGCAAGGCTGACCATCACGTGCGCCTATGCTGATCCGAGTGCTGTGCTGTGCGGACCGAGGCGGGTACTCGAGCAAAATGTTTACAAACAAAACTCAGCAAGAATTCACTTCGCTCTCCATCAAGCGTAACTGCCGGTCAGTGCAAGTATACTGTTGGACGCCGCGTGGCCACATTTTCGGCAACATAGGCTCATTTGTAAATTCACTTCGCTCTCCATCAAGCGTAACTGCCGGTCAGTGCAAGTATACTGTTGGACGCCGCGTGGCCACATTTTCGGCAACATAGGCTCATTTGTAAATTCACTTCGCTCTCCATCAAGCGTAACTGCCGGTCAGTGCAAGTATACTGTAAAGACGCCGCGTGGCCATATTTTCGGCAGCATAGAAAAGATAATCGGCAGTTTTTAATAAGTGATTACAGTGAAGCCAATGGAATAGTAATCTAGGGGAACATTAACTACACAGCATCTAATACACCCAGTCTGCAGTTCATCAGGTACACCTTTTTATTAATAAAATAAACAAGTCACATCTCGCGCTATAGTCGATCGGGCACACTTACGCTCTCTCGAACTGATCCCTCGACATCGTACAGGCCCGCTAGCAGAATCAGGGCACGTTTACGCTCTCTTGAACTAACCACTCGACATCGTACAGGCCCGCTAGCAGAATCAGGGCACGTTTACGCTCTCTTGAACTAACCACTCGACATCGTACAGGCCCGCTAGCAGAATCAGGGCACGTTTACGCTCTCTTGAACTAACCACTCGACATCGTACAGGCCCGCTAGCAGAATCAGGGCACGTTTACGCTCTCTTGAACTAACCACTCGACATCGTACAGGCCCGCTAGCAGAATCAGGGCACGTTTACGCTCTCTTGAACTAACCACTCGACATCGTACAGGCCCGCTAGCAGAATCAGGGCACGTTTACGCTCTCTTGAACTAACCACTCGACATCGTACAGGTCCTGAACAGCTGACTCAAGAGTCACTGTAGTTCACACAAATTGGTCACAAAAGAACAACACAGATCGACTAATAGACTATAAATACAGATTGTTAAATCTTTCACGAATTAGAAATCTTATCATTAACTGTTTTTACCTGTGACTAGACTCTTCTACTGTGTCCTTACATAATTAAAGACACAATTGATTACATAATAAATTCCATTAAACATCTGACACCACATCAAGTACAACTATTCATCCATCAAGCATACTTGATTCTACACCATCATCCCATGCTGCCGCCTCACAAGCATGATTGACTGACGACATCAGCTGACATTGACAACATCAGCATAACCTCAAAGCAACACAGTTATATTCATAGAAGTCTTCATAGCATAAGAATTATAAGAACACATCATTTGATAATCCAACAGAATTATTTATCTCTACACAACAGTGCAATATTATCATAATTGTTTTACAATCATTAACCTTGTTTTAATAAATATATTATATTTTTCAGGCTTGTCTGTTATTGCTTTCCTTTAAAATTATCCTGCCGAGAGACTAATCCACTGAACTATTGAATTGGCAGTTCGAGCCATAAAATAACCCTTTAAAATCGAACACCTGCCCAGCAACAGGTGTCAACCATGAATACTTTACAAAGAGTGCAGTGGAAGAAGAGCTCATATGCTATGCCATGCAAGAGCGATTGTCTGAAGGCTGCGTCAGGAATTAGGCGAATCGACACAAACAAGCAAAACTACCAAGCCTGAGGAGAAGGCACATGCAGTAGAGGCACGATAAATGGTATATATATATATATACGACATACCTATTCCTAAATCCTTAGAAGACTTGTAGGCACCTATGTAATGATATCCTAAATGCAGGGAACTCCATAATAGTGGACGTAGCCTTAATGCACGTCGACGACCAAACAAGAACAGCATGGGAACGATCACATAGGGTCATCATCATCATCCGGCTCAAGTAGCGGCACTAGAGAACGTTACTGAAATGAGGGAACAACAAACTCGATCTAAACCCTAAACATCCGATAAGAAATTCATAAGAACGTGTCAATCATCAACGGCGAACGAGAAGGGAGGAAGACAGTGGAAATTCAATCAATTTCACCTTCTATGTGTTTACTGCAATGAAAATGAGAAGTTATGGATGTGCGACCAATTAAAAAATCTCACCATTAACGAACCAAAGGCCGTTGGGAAAATACTACAGCCACGTACAAACTGTCTTGGAAATCACTTGTCTAGCCACGCTTCATCAAGAAAGGCTGTATGGACAGCAACAAGGCACAACATACTCTATTACACGATGAAAGGAGCCATTCATCCGAAGACGCTAGTTCATCGTTACACACCAGATGTCTAGATCGGAAACTACAAACTCGCCCAAGAGAAGACAAACAACGACCTTGCTGGACACCGTAGTGATTACAGTAAAATCATAATCAACTATGAATCAAGCTCGCCTTTCTATTAACACTAGATCTGAAACTACACTGATCACTGATGAATTGACAAGGAAACTTCAAGCAAACCCACAGGAAACCACGGTCATAATTGATAGTATAGGAACATTACTGATCGACATCACTGATGCAAACAATTAGTAAAATATTACATACAGTGCAAGTTACAAGTGCGAAGGTAATGCACTTACTAAACAAGTTTCACCGAATAGATCAATAGTCGAT